AACTTTTTCTAAAAAATAGCATGTTATAGGGTACAAGTTGTGTACTACAAACTGGCAGAAAAACTGGAGAAGGGTACTTTCAAATTTGTTAACTTTTTAATCTGAGAAGTTGTTAGAATAAACACGATCGGATCGATGAGATCGGATAGAACATCTTCTCTTTTGCTCACTCTTCAATTTTCTTGTAATTTGGCTGAGGAACGAAGGTGCTACAAGGGTTTTATTTTAGTACGGTCACAGGGGACGAATTTTTGCGAAAAATTCGTCTTTTGAAGTTCTTTAATCGGAACAAGAAAACAAACATTGCCACGAGATTGAGCGTGCCCGAAAACGTATGTAGCAAGTAGTTTCCTGAGGTTCCCAGACTTCAAGTTCAGGCGATAGGTAGGTAGTCGGAGGTTGCCCGTAGCACCCGAACCACGGTAGATGGAGAGTTGGGGCTTTCGCCAGGTTGTTGAGCGACATCTGTATGTATATCTGTATGTGTTTGGAGCAGTACTTTTGTTAGGCGATTTTTGGAGTGGCAGGTTCGGACATTTTGTTCTGAAAGATACACCATGGTAAACCTCTTACAAAAAGCGGGTTTTTCATAGATCGATATCCCCCGGTGTCTAGTTTTAGAAACTGAAAAGCGCTAGTCTCTATGAGTGAGATGATTTCCTCTTTAAAGAGTGTAAGGAAGTTAGTTTTCTAAAGAGTGTAGTGTGGTGCTAATTGTATCATATTTTACCCGGCTTTCTCTTCGGGAATATGATGCAATTCACTTCTGGTTCAAGTAGAAATTGAGCTGAAAATAAGTAAAGTTTACTTATTTTAAGATCTTTAGGTGGGTAGTTTGCGTCCGACCGTTGGTTCAAATGTTTTATGAAGCCTAGATATAGTTGTGTATTTCTGCTCTACTTCCTGATGCTATTATACTTTTTTTATTTAATTGTTCAACGTTCTTTTTTATTTCTTATTTGTTTGAATGCTACATAAATGAGAGAACGTGAAGTGAATGAAAAAGGAAATTATTGGATGTAGCTTCATTCGAAAGTTGCGTCATAGTTTTCCGGGTCGGGTGGTTCCATATCCATCGCCTTTGTTTGCTTGTCTAAATTCTCGTCCATTTCTTTTAAAATCGTTTCTAATTCTGTTTCGATTGTACATTTTTCTTTCTGTAATGCATCCTTTTGTTCTTTTGAAATTTGATTACTTTTCAGTTCATCATTGATATTTGTTATTTTTGCATTGAGAACTTTTTCCGTTTCTTTTAGATTTTGATACTAAATAAAAAGGCAATTTGAATGCGATGAAAAGAATGCTTAAGTTCTACTCAACCTAATCATATAGAAAGGCTATGCCTAAGCGCACAAGTAGTCGTCGCAATCTCTATGATCTAGGAGTTTCATTCATTAATTGGGTTACGATCTATTCTTGTTTCGTTGACAACTCACTTTTACAACGCCCCTCCCGCCTTAGATGTTCTTTGAAGTATATTCTTTGAAGCGGCAGATGTGTCGACGAAACGAGAATACCCCTTGGGTTACATATCGCTTCAATATGGCTTTATTTTTAACGCGGAAATACACGCAATTTAAACGAATGACGCTCTGAAAAACTATCCGACTTAGAGCTACTTTATTATTTTGTATGATAACATTATCCTAGAGTAATAGTCGATAGTAAAGGTTTAACAGAATCGTTGTGAAAAGACAGCTATAGCCAGAGGCGGCGCGAAGAAGCTAAAGCAGGGGGGGGGGGGGTTTTTAAAAACCGGGTGTAGGGTAAAAAGGGT